GTCCACAGGTGGAATGAGTGGCTGACCTATGATATCTGCCTATCTGTCTATCTCACCTGTCCACAGGTGGAATGAGTGGCTGACCTATGATATCTACCTGGCGGACCTCCCTCGCTCAGCCAGACTCTGTCTGTCCATCTGCTCTGTAAAAGGAAGGAAAGGAGCCAAGGAGGTAGGAAAGGATGCAAAATATTTATGGAGGATGTAGAGAGAGAATGACGACTGAACTTTCCACCTGTCTGTCCTCAGGAACATTGTCCTCTGGCCTGGGGGAACGTCAACCTGTTTGACTATCAGGACATCCTGGTTTGTGGTAAAGTTGCTCTCAGTCTTTGGCCTGTCCCTCATGGCCTTGAGGACCTGCTCAACCCCATCGGAGTCGCTGGTTCAAATCCCAACAAGGTCAGTCTGTCCCACTAATGGACAACTGATCAGGTTATCAATGACTGAACACTGATGACTGATCAATGTTCTGCAGGAGACTCCCTGTGTGGAGCTAGAGTTCTCCTGGTTCAACCAGACCGTTGTGTTTCCTGATGAGCAGCAGATCGAAGAACATGCCAACTGGACCATCAGTAGAGAACTGGGCTACAACTACTGCCAAGGCCTGGTAATACATTCACACAAATATAAATATCCATCCATCAATCCATCCATTTTCTTCCACTTATCCGGAGTCAGGTCACCGAGGTAGCAGGTGGAGCAGGTCATTCCAGACATCCCTCCCCCCAGCAACACTTTCCAGCTCTTCCTGGGGAATCCCGAGGTGTTCCCAGGCCAGCTGAGAGATATAATCCTTCCAGTGGGTTCTGGGTCTTTCCCGGGATCTCCTCCCAGGTGGAAGTGTCTGGAAAACCTCCAGAGGAAGCCTTCCTGAATCAGATGTCCAAACCACCTCAAATGACCCTATTTGATGCAAAGAAGCAGCAGTCTTACTCTGAGCTCCTTCCAGATGTCCGAGCTTCTCTCCATCTCTCTAAGGCTGAGCCCAGTCACCCTGCGGAGGAAGGGTTAGGGTTAGGGTTAGTCAGAGACTTGTATCCGCGATCTCATTCTTTTAGTCATGACCCAGAGCTTGTGACCATAGGTGAGGGTTGGGACATAGATGGACAGGTAAATCGAGAGAATCTCTCTTCACCACGACAGTCCAGTACAGCACTTGCATTACTGCGGACGCCACATGGAGCTGCCTGTCCACGTTGCGTTTCATTTTCCCATCACTCATGAACAAGATCCCACGATGCTTTAACTCCCTTGCTTGGGGAACCAACTCCCCCCCTCCCCCTGGAGGGAGCACCGGTTTCCGGCAGAGGACCATTGCCTCAGACTTGGAGGTATTAATCCGCATTCCCGCCCGCTTCTCACTCGGCTGCAAACCGCTCCAGTGTGTGCTGAAGGTCAGGTTTGATGAAGCCAGCAGTACCACATTATCTGCAAAAAGCAGAGACGTGATCCTGAGGTCCCCAAACTGGACACCCTGCTCTCCCTGGCTGCACCTTGAGAGTCTATCCATGAACACCACAAACAGGATCGGGGACAAGGGGCAGCCCTGGCGGAGTCCAACACCCACTGGGACTGTGTCAGACTTTTTGCTGAGAATGCGGACACAGCTTGCCTTGGGTTGTACAGGGACTGAATGGCTCGTAGCAGCGAGCATGGTACCCCATACTCCCTCAGTACCCCCTCTGAGCCCCTCAGGGAACACGGTCATAGGCCTTCTCCAGATCCACAAAACACATGTGGACTGGCTGGTCGAACTCCCATGCCCCTCTCATCAGTGGTGCAAGGGTAAAAAGCTGGTCCACTGTTCCACGACCCGGACGGATTCCACATTGCTCCTCCTGAATCTGGGGTTCGACAATCAGTTGGAGCCTCCTTTCCAACAATCTAGAGTAACCTCTCCCGGGGAGGCTGAGAAGTGTGATCCCCCGGAAAGTGGAACACACTCTCCGGTCCCCCTTTTTGAAAATGGAAACCACCATCCTGGTCTGCCACTCCACAGGCACCATACCCGACACCCACGAGACACTGAAGACACGTGTCAGCCATGACAGTCCAACAATGTCCAGAGCCTTTAGCATCTTGGGATGAATCTTGTCCTCACCTGGCCCCTTGCCACCAAGGAGCTTCTAAACGATCTCGGCGACCTCTGCCACGGATATGGACACCGAAACCCTCCAAGTACATATAAATATGTACATGTAAATACATGTATAAATATAGATATGTGAGTATTTATACCATTTCCATCCACTTATAAAGTCCATGTTTACCATGACAGTCTGGAGTTTCCAATTAGTCCTATAACTGAATTTTCTATGATGTTCATTGAAACTCATGAATCTTTGTCACAGAAAACAATCATGTATTTTGGTTCTTAATCAGAGGTTTTCTGGAAACATGATAAAATCTGCTGGATCATAAATCTACATGCAGCAACTTGAATTGTCAATTCTGGCGATGTAGAAAGTTGTGTTACCATAATTTTCTTTGTTTCATGTCCTCTTAACTTCTCCTGAGTGGTTCTGATTGACTCCAGCTGCTGACTCCTCTGATCTAGTTTAAATAGAACCATCTGATCCACTCATTAGACTGAAGTCTGAGGAGCTCAGCAAAGATCTGGAGAAGAACATCAGTGACTGGAACCAGTCAGAAAGTCACTTGGAGCCGTTTCAGAGCAGCTTCAGATCCAGAACCATCAGTGTGTCAGCATGAAGTTCATGGTCCAGTTGTGTTACTGCCCCCATCAGGAAGGAAACACAAACTAGCAGCTGCTGCTGAGAGACGACTGGTCAGGATGGTCAAGAGTCAACCAGGAACCAGCAGGAAGCAGCTCTGGATGGACCAGAAGCTGCTGGAACACAGCTGTCAGTGTCCACAGGGTCTGACATCAACATGAGCTGAGAGGCTGATGGAGAAGGAAGTTCTTCCTCTACAAGCAGAACCTTAAAGCTCCACTGGTCACATGGACAAAGAAAAGGCCTTCTGGAGGAAGGTTCTGGTCAGATGGAACAAACACTAAGCACAAACCTGTCTGTCTACCTGTCTGTCTACCTGTCTGTCCTCAGAGCAGTCGTCTGGCCTGTGACAGCAGTGTTTCAGCAGCAGATGCAGAGCAGCTTCGTTCTCTTTGTTCCAGAGATCCTCTGTACGAGTTGTCAGAGCAGGAAAAGGACTTTCTCTGGAGACACAGGTGAGACACAGGTGAGGGCGGGTCCTAATGAGGATACACAGGTGAGACACCTGAGAAATAGGTAAACACAGGTAAGGGGAACAGTTAACACAAATGCAGACTTTTAGACCAATAACTGATGATTGTCCACACCTGTCTACCTTCCTGTCTGTCTACATGTCTGTCTGTCTTTCTACCTGTCTACCTGTCCGTCTGTCCGTCCGTCTGTCTGTCTGTCTGTCTGTCTGTCTATCTACCTGTCTGTCCTTCTACCTGTCTCTCTGCAGACATTACTGTGTAAACATCCCAGAATCTCTTCCTAAGCTGCTTCTGTCTGTCAAATGGAACTCCAGAGACGAAGTGTCCCAGGTACAAACACATCAATCAGTCATCGTGGATCTGCAGGTGTTTCAGTCTCACTTACCTGTCTCCTGTCTGTCTGCATCTCACGCTCCACCTGGCCCCCCGTTCCCCGTCCTCCTCCTGGTCTTGGTACTCCTGGTCCTCCTGGTCCTCCTCAGATGTACTGTTTGTTGAAGGAGTGGCCTCTAATGGAGCCCGAGTCGGCTCTGGAGTTGTTGGACTGTAACTTTCCTGATCCGATGGTCAGAGAGTTTGCTCTGCGCTGCCTGGTGCAAGGCCTGACGGACGACAAGCTGTCGCAGTACCTGCTGCAGCTGGTACAGGTACGTTTACACCTGTATACTCACCTGCTGCAGCTGGTACAGGTACGTTTACACTTTTGACACCTGTGCGTCTCGCTGAGCTGAACTCAGTGACTCTGTATTTCAGGTGTTGAAGTATGAGATGTACCTGGACAATCCTCTGGCTCGTTTCCTCATCAAGAAGGCTCTGACCAATCAGAGAATCGGACACTTCTTCTTCTGGCATCTAAAGTAGGTCCAAACCCTGAGAGTTTATTTACACACCTGTCAGTTAGTTAGTTCGTTAGTTAGTTCGTTAGTTAGCTGGCTAGTGTACATTGATATAACAGGTTCTGTTGTCACAGGTCAGAGATGCACAATAAAACAGTTTCCAGACGGTTTGGTCTGCTGCTGGAAGCTTTCTGCAGAGCCTGTGGCATGTACCTGAAACATCTGAACAGACAGGTGAGCACTGAAACACCTGATCTGTGTATCTACAGTCCAATTGATCCATGATGTCTTTCAGATCAAACTATTCATTGATTAATGAGTACAAGTGTGTTACTGTGTGCAGGTGGAGGCGATGGATAAACTGGTGAATCTGACCGACACACTGAAGCAGGAGAAAAAGGACGAGACACAGAAAGTACGAAGACACACTCTTACATCTGACTCTGTGATTGGTTGATGCTGGTGTCTTGCTGCGCTGTGATTGGTTAATGCTGGTGTCTTGCTGTGCTGTGATTGGTTGTCAGACCCAGATGAAGTTCCTGGTTGAACACATGTCTCGTCCAGACTACATGGAGGCTCTGCAGGGATTCGTGTCTCCTCTGAACCCAGTTCACCAACTGGGAAACCTCAGGTAACTGACCAGCTAACCAGCTAACTAACCCGCTGACAGTAAGACAGGTGACGTGGCAGTAAGTCAGGTGTGTTTGCAGGCTGGAGGAGTGTAGGATCATGTCATCAGCGAAGCGCCCCCTGTGGCTGAACTGGGAAAACCCCGACATCATGTCTGAGCTGCTCTTCTCCAACAATGAGATCATCTTCAAGAACGGAGACGGTAACTAGCTCAGTGCTAACCACAACTCTAGATCCAGTGGAGGTCCCTAGGCATGCTAACAGCAGAGCGGTGCTGGGGGATTGTGGGTAGTATAGTGTGTTACGGTGCTGAGGGATTGTGGGTAATATAGTGTGTTACACTGCTGAGGGATTGTGGGTAATATAGTGTGTTACAGTGCTGAGGGATTGTGGGTAATATAGTGTGTTACACTGCTGAGGGATTGTGGGTAATATAGTGTGTTACAGTGCTGAGGGATTGTGAGTAATATTGTGTGTTACACTGCTGAGGGATTGTGGGTAATATTGTGTGTTACAGTGCTGAGGGATTGTGGGTAACGTAGTGTGCTCTATGTGTTGCAGACCTGCGTCAGGACATGCTGACACTGCAGATCATCAAAATCATGGAGAACATTTGGCAGAACCAAGGCTTGGACCTGCGGTGAGAAGCTGACATCATCAGTGACAAGGCCTGTGACATCATGACCCACCTGGCTAACAGAGTGTGTGTGTGTGTGTGTGTGTGTGTGTGTGTGTCAGCATGCTGCCGTACGGCTGCCTGTCCATCGGAGACTGTGTTGGGCTGATCGAGGTGGTGAAGAACAGCTTCACCATCATGCAGATTCAGTGCAAAGGAGGCCTGAAGGGGGCGCTGCAGTTCAACTCCAATACACTGCACCACTGGATCAAAGACAAGAACCGTGGGGAGGCGTCAGTACCTGTCTGTCTTTCCGATCACCTGTCTGTCCGTGTGTCTGTCTCTCGCTCTGTCTGACCGCCTGTCTGTCTCTCAGGTATGACCGGGCCATCGACCTCTTCACCAGGTCGTGTGCAGGTTACTGTGTCGCCACCTTCATCCTGGGAATTGGAGACCGACACAACTCCAACATCATGTTGAAGGAGAACGGACAGGTGAGCTGCTGACTCCTCCTCCTGACTCCTCCCCCATGAGTAGTAGCTCCTCCCCCCTCATTCCTCCATTTCTTTTTCTTCTTCTTTAGCTGTTCCACATTGACTTTGGTCACTTTCTGGATCACAAGAAGAAGAAATTTGGCTATAAGAGGGAGCGCGTGCCCTTCGTCCTCACTCAGGACTTCCTTATCGTCATAAGTAAAGGCATCCAGGAGTCCACCAAAACCAAGGAGTTTGAAAGGTGTCCCCTTAGTTCACCTGCGTGTCTCACCTGTGTGTCTCACCTGTGTGTCTCACATGTGTGTCTCACCTGTGTGTCTCACCTGTGTGTCTCACCTGTGTGTCTCACCTGTGTGTCTCACCTGTATGCCTCACCTGTGCAGGTTCCAGGAGATGTGTTATAAAGCTTACCTGGCCATCCGGCAGCACGCCAGCCTCTTTATCAACCTGTTCTCCCTCCTGCTGGGATGCGGGATGCCTGAACTGCAGAGCTTCGATGACATCGCATACCTGAGGAAGACCCTGGCCCTAGGTGAGACAGACAGACTGAACATCAACCAAATGGTGACAAACACCTGAATACAACCAGACACATCTTTAACTGTACCTGTCTGTCTGTCTGTCTGTCTGTCTGTCAGAGAAGAGCCAGCAGGAGGCATTGGAATATTTTACCAAGCAGATGAACGATGCTCATCATGGAGGCTGGAGCACCAAGATGGACTGGATCTTCCACACTATCAGACACATGCCCAACGAGCACTGATGCACACACAGATCCAGTGTAATGATTCTAATCTGTATCCCCTCACAGTAATCAAATTAC